AAAAAAAATTCTGAAGTAGCTTCTACACTGGACTGTAACATAGGCTCCTACTTTAGGTCATCATTTGTAATTACTTAGTTTACTTTCATAAACATTCGCCCTTAGAAGCAGTGGGAGGATCAAGTTCTCTAATGATTGGCAACCTTAGCAATTGAGAGAGGGGCTTTAGTATTATAATGCTATAGATGTTCAATTTTTTAAAACTGATTTTATTATGGTAAAATACACATAACAAAATTTACCATTTTAACCATTTTTAAGTGTACACTTCAGTACAGTCACATTTTGTTCAACAATCCACCTCCAGAAGTCTTTTCACTTTGCAAAACTGAAACTCTCTACTCACAGCACAATAACTCCCCATTTCTCCCTCCCCCAACTCAAGGCAACCATCATCAATATAAACCTGTGTCCATTAAACAATAACTCCACCATCTCCTCTCCTCCCATTCCCTAGTAACCTCTAATCTACTATCTGTGTCTATGAATTTAACTACTCTAGGTACCTCGTAAAAGTGGGATCACACAGTGTTTGTTGTTTTGTGACTGGCTTCTTTCATTTACCACATTGTCCTCAAGGGTCATCCATGTAATAAAATGTACCAGAACTTCCTGTTTTAATGCTGAATGATATCCCATTGTGTGTATATATCACATTTTGTTTATCCATTCATCCATGGAATGGATGGTTTGCTTCTACCTTTTGGCATTGTGAATAATTCTGCTGTGAATATGGATGTACAAGTATTTGTTTGAGTTCCCGCTTTCAATTCTTTTGAGTATGTACTCAGAAGTGGAATTGGTGGGTCATATGGGTGTTATATTTTTAATTTTTTAAGGAACTGCCATACTGTTTTCTATAGTGGCTGCACCATTTTACATTCCCAATGACACTATACAAGGGTTCCAATTTCTCCATGGTAGTTTAATATCTATAATGTATATGTGAGAAATAAATTCAGGTCAGGTTAATTCATCTAAAACAAACTATTTCTTTATATATGGTAGTCCCTCAAATATTTTGTTGAAACCAATTCAACCATCAGTAAATGTTTATTGAAATTAAATTCAACACATATTTTTTGAATTTCTACTATGTACAGTATACTAAGTATTCTGAGGGACACAAAGATGAATAATGGTCTTTATTCTCAAGGAGTTTATAATCCAGAAGATCTAATAAGTATAAACTAAACTGAATATACAGCATATTGTTAAATATCTAGCTATTAAAAGTAGACATTTCTATTTCTTTCATTGACAATAAAGCTATTGAATACCACTTATATTTGCACAGATTTTTACCTGTTTGTTTGCAAACACAACCAGAGGAAGGATTGGGTTTGTTCCAATTAATTGATGAAGGTGTTTCTTGGCTTCAGGTAATCTGTTGTGATCTGCTGAATCTACCACAAAGATCAGCAGCAATCCTCTGGACAGGTACATTTCCCAATAGGAACGGAAAGGTTCACTGCCGCCAACTATACAGAATAGTGGAGAAAGAAGACACCAAAAACATTGCAGAAGTGTCCACTGAGGTGCCAGAAAAGATACTTTTAGATATCTTTTAGATACTTTAGATACTTTTAGATACTTTTAGATACTTTAGATATCTTGGTGGGAATATTTACCCTCCACAAGTGGTTCAATCATTCTGGAACATAAAGGATCAGCATAAAGACAGTAGATACTACAGAGGATGCCTTCCGATCCGTAAACATAGCGACCCCAGGGGCCACAGCCATCCTATCTGTTAAACTCAGAAAATGGGAGTAGGCTACTAAAATAACTCAGGGTGGTGGGTTAAAACACACCTTCCTCTAAAATAAGTTTTAGATGGACTGAATTCACTGGCCAGCCTCATTTGCACAATCTTTTTCCTTTGTTAAAATCCCAGAACTAATTTCTCTCTTAACATTGCACTAAGAGTTAATATGATCCTGTGAACATTAAGGAATACTTGCCTCAGAAAAAAAATGCCTTTGGATTATTTCATTCTGCTGATTCTTTCCAGAAGAAACTTACTAGTAATGATAATAATATATATAGAGCGAACTTAGTTTTTGTTTTTCTCCTAGAAGAGAGGTTGGCAAACTATGGCCCACAGTTTAAATCTGGCCCAACGCCTATTTTTGTATAGCCCATGAAGAAAGAATGGATTTTACACTTTTAAATTTCAGGAAAAAAAAAGAAAGAATAACATTTCATAATATGAACATTATATCACATTTGGATTTCAGTGCCTACAAATAAAGCTTTATCAGAACACAGACATGTGGATTTGTTCACATATTGTCTGTGGCTGCTTCCACACTACAACAGAAGTTAGTAGTTTGAAGACCCCTGTTTTAGGAATTTAACAAAAACATTTAAAATACTACTGGGAAAGGGTCTTGATTTGCCTTTCTTTTGTTTTCCTTTTATAGAGCTAGGCTAATTCTGTAAAGTATTTCGTGTTATTAATTTTTTAAAAGAATGTTCTGTAATCTTCTAAGTTATTCACGTGGTTTTAACATACTTAATTTAAGCATGAATGAACATTTGGGTTGTTCTTTTTTTGTGTATGTGACGTCATGACATCTCATCTATATAGGGGATTTTTATCTTTTTTGTTATTAACTTCTAATTTAATTGCAATGTAGCCAAAGAACATGGTTTGTATGATGCCCCTTCTCTGAAAAATTTGTTAAGACTTGCTGTATGGTCCATGAAGTGGTCAATTTCGGTAAATGTTCCATGAGTATTTCAGAAGAACATGTATTTTAGATTTGGGATGTAGCTAAAATTGTCTAATTGGACAATCTTATATTGTCCATTGGATGAAACTTGTTGATTATGTTCAAATTTTGTGTATCTTTTCTGATTTTTTCTAGTTTTGATCCTATTAATAATCGACAATATGTTGAAGTCCCTCACTCCAATGGTAGCGTATGTCCTTTTCTCCCCCTGGTTGGAATCTTCCTCTCTTTTCCTCCCTTCCTTCCTTTCTTTTCACGTTTCATACTTTGAGACTATTTTCTTAGCTATATATTTGGTTAAAGTTATTATTTCTCCTATAGCTTCTTAATAAATTGAAAACTCTATTCCTAATAATGTTGTTAGCTGAAAGATCTGCCTACACATTTACCAATTTCTTGGCCCACATTTTCTTTTTGTAACTGGCTGAAAGCAAAAAGAAAAGGTGATGGCAGTAATCTAAGTAAGAGACAGTATAGGTTCCAACTCAAATAGGTGCAGTACGAAAGGATATAACTGATGAATTCAGGATTTGTTTTAGAGGTAGAAAAATTCATAGTGTTTTATTTGTGGACTAGAGGTGAGGCTGCATAAGGAGAAATCAAGGGTGACCCCTAGTTTTCCGGCTTGAGCAACATGATAGGTGAGGGGCCATTTACTGACCAGTAGATTATAGGGAAAGGAACAGATATGGAGATAAATCAAGCACTTAGTTTTGACCATTTTAGGTTTGAGAGGCCAATTAGATATCTAGGTGGAAAGGTCAGGTGACATCTGGATATGTTTGGGCTGGATGGATAAATCTGGGATTCATTAGCAGAGGGATGATATTTAAGGCCAATAGGATGGATGAAATCATCCAAGGAGAGAGTGTAAAGAGAAGAGAATCTATGCAACTTTGGGGAACAGCAATATTTAGAGAAGCGGTGACTCCAGAATTACTTTAGAGTAGAGACTTCTGGGCTGCCATCTGGTTACAAAAAGAGGTTTAAGGCTTGTTTATAGTTGCATTTGCAGAGAAGGAAGTACACTTTATTTGCCTAGACTGCATGTTTATTAGAGGTAGTAAGGGAGGAGAGAGGCTGTTACAGGAGGGGGTGCTATAACTTTCCTTTCAGCTTCCTCTTATACCAGCACTGTAAAATGGAGAAAATAAAAAGAAAAGAAAGTGATTCCCCCTGTCCCTCCACTGCATATTAAACTATATATGCATTCTAAAAGTATAGGAAAATCTGACCCAGTGTTACTTTTCATACAGATGCAATGTTGCTAATAGTATGTCTGGCTTATGGTATAACAAAATGAACCTCTCCTGTTTACTAATAAGAAAGAGGGCTTACTCTCTAGGAATTCCATTTGGCTATCTTCAGTGTTGATGCATACTGCATTGAAACCTTGGGTGGGTGCCACACTGTGCTGGACTTTGTTTAAAGCTAGAGAGTGGAGAACACTGGTCTTTCCTGCTCCGTCCAGGCCCAACACAAGGATCTGCTTATTTTTTTCCTGTGAAAAAAAAAAAGACAAAACAATAAACCCATGTGACCAGGGCCTCGTTTTCCTGGCTCCTGGCAGTGTGCCTGCCTGTGGTAGGACCCGATGATAATTGTGGAACTGTAAACCAGAGCAAAGCTTCACAAAAAATTTAATATATCTAGGGGAACCCTGCTGAGCTCAGTTGGTAGAGGACAGGACTCTCAGTCTTGGGGTCGTGAGTTCAAGCCCCACGCTGGGTGTAGAGTTTACTTAAAAAAATTAATATGTCTAGAACAAACTGTGCCAATCAGTTTGTTTTTTATAATCTGCTATTAGTTATGTGGTATTAATCACACCACACCCTTCCATCCCCCAACTCCTGGTCAATCTATCAAATATAGACTTTATGTAGATCAGGATTTATAGGAAGTGCCGTAGATCACAGGATCAATTTTCACACTTCATTTTGCTTCTTGAGTTCATGTCCACTGGGGATTGCACCAGAATTCAGTCTGTTTGAGATCTAGGGATCTCAATGGTTCATGTACTGACTGTGCCATTCAGCAAGTAAGCATCTAAGTTTTCTTACTACGGATCTGTTTTGTTTTCCCAATTGGATCACTAGATTAGACGACTTTAGAGCAAAGTTCCCTTCTTATACTCTTTAAGATAAGTATTATGATTAAATGAAAAGGCTAAGGTTATAGAAATTGTTAAACCAGTTCCAGGGGTGCCTGGGTGGCTCAGTCGGTTAAGCGTCCGACTTCGGCTCAGGTCATGATCTCGCAGTCCATGAGTTCGAGCCCTGCGTCGGGCTCTGTGCTGACAGCTCAGAGCCTGGAGCCTGTTTCAGATTCTGTGTCTCCCTCTCCCTGACCCTCCCCCGTTCATGCTTTGTCTCTCTCTGTCTCAAAAATAAATAAACGTTAAAAAAAATTTTTTTTAAATATTAAAAAAAAAACGGTTCCAATCACAAACATTTATTTTAAAACCTGACATTAAAACCTGTTGAACTTGACACAAACTTTAGAAAGAAGCATTCCACCAACATACCAGCCTTAAAAATTTTTATGACAAGTGACTGAGAGACAAGCATTGCAGACTGGTATGAAGACAAAGTTAAGAGTGCTCATAAAAGTGGCTATTAGGGTGCAAAATTTAATGTGATCAGTAGTAAATGACCAACAATACTGCAAGATTGCTTATAAGAATTCAATTCTATTTCCCAAACAGCCTGCTGAAGAAGTTTCTCATGCACAAAAACACCAGTAATTGTCTTCAATGGCACTGGTGTGGAAATAATAATCATTTACATTTGTACTCAAATACTAAATGTTGACATTAGATTTAGACTGGGTTTCTGGAAAAAAAGTGAATTTTTTTCACTGTTCCTATTTTTCTTTTTTTAAAAAATAAGATCTATGTGAAAGTAAGATGTTTTAAGATCTGATCTAATAGGGTCTTGTACAGAGCATGATTTATCAAAACTGTCTCCTGAATACCAGAATTAGACAAATACATGTTGGGGCGCCTGGGTGGCTCAGTCAGTTGAGCGAACAACTTCTGCTCAGGTCATGATCTCACGGTTTGTGGGTTCAAGCTGGCAAGGGTTCTGCACTCAGAGCCGGGAGTCTGTTTAGGATTCTGTGACTCCCTCTTTCTCTTCCCCTCCCCCACTCACGCTCTGTCTCTGTCTCTCTCAAAAATGAATAAACATTTTTAAAAATTTTAAAAAGAAGACGAAGTACATGTTTTTGGAGTTAATTCTTGATGGCTTTTATAGCAAATAGTATTTCCATAGTTATTTCCTACCTTCATTCATGTTGCCTCACATCTGCATCTAAATGTTATAGTGTCATTCTGGGAGTGTCATGGTAAGGAATAAATGGCTGTAGGGTGTGGATTGTGTCTCCCTTATTGCCTCCACAAATGGCCCCATGCTCAAGGCTACCCCAACATATTTCATCAATTCCAAGATGCATTTTTCCCTCCCACATTTTAACATCTCTGAAATGAGGATTTTACAATTCATGGTATGTCATGTTTTGATTGGCAGCATTTTTTTTTTCTTTCTCAGTGGTACTAAATTAATGGTATCTGAGATCCTATGGAAGTGTAAATTAAAACAGTTCCCAACTCTTTCCAACCACATCACTGTCCCTACGCCCATCCTTTCTAGAAATTCAGCAGTCACTGACGCTTTACATTTTACCTTATTTTAGCAAAATGCATGCTAAAATACATGCTTCCTCATGTTTATCTAATCTCTTAAGGAAAGCTGGGATTAATGTAAACCAAGAGTTCGGACACAATTTGTGATTTTGAACACCTCTGTTCCCTATCAAAAGTCATTCCGTTTATATTTGGATCTATAATAGTCTGTGTTTTACCAGAGATCAAATCTCAGTTAATAATTCAAATTGTTTAGAACCAGAAAAGCGCCTGTGAGCTCAGGAACTCCAGGAACAGAAGTCCATTGAGCTGGGCTTAATGCTTGCTTTTCCTTTTTATCCTACCCGCCCCCCCCCCCTCAATTTTTTAACTGTGGCAAAATTCACATAAAATTTACCATCTTAACCATTATTAAGCATACAATTCAGTGGTATTAACTACATTCATAATGCTGTTCATCTTGCAAAACTCAAACTCGGTAGTCATGACTAGCTCCCCACTCTCCCAGCCCTCAGCCCCAGGCAATCATCAGTTCTACTCTATATGATTTTGACCACTCTAGGTACCTCATATAAGTAGAATCATAGGTATTTGTTCTTTTGTGATTGCAGCGCCTGGTTTCTGAGACCTCTCAGTTAAAACTTTGTGACCATCCCTTCTGGGCGCTAGTAGTTTGAAAACAATTTTTATTGTAACCACGGAGAAGGTCTAGCCCTAAAACACACCCTGCACGAATTCAGGGACCCTACACTTTCTGACAAAGAACGTGTTCAACGGGAAGGACTAGGTTGGAGAGCCCGCGCGCGGCGAGGGTTCGGGTCTGGTTTCTGTGCTGTAGGCGGCGGGTGCGCCAGTGCTGAGCGCTGGACGGAGATGGGGCCCAAGAAGGGCTGTTCCGGCCCCGTGAAGACCAACCAGGACCTCTTCTTCCTCAACGCTAGACCCGAAGAGGGGTGGGGCGCGCGGCAGGGTTAGTTAGCCGTCAGGGTGAGGCAGGTGACGGGGGAAAAGGGGTAGCGATGGGTGCGGCGAAGCTTGGCACACCCCCTCCCATCCACAGATTAAAATGCCCAAGGAGACCGGATTCCCTCCCCCCGGTCGGGACCTCGGACTAACAGAGCCAGCGGCGCTCGGGCCTGACCGCCAATAATGGCCTTGGGGAGCGGGTCCGAGGCACCGGCCCCTTACCAGAGGCTCCAGCGGGGGCTTCGTCAAGGCGTTGTTATCCTTCTTCTCTTTGTCTTTTCCCTCAAGTTGTTCCTTCTCTTTCTCGGTCTCCCGCTCTTTCTTTTCCTCCTCTCTACACTTATTTTTCTCCTCCTTCCCTGTCTCTTTCCCCTTCTTTTCTTTTCCCTTAATTTTCTCCTTCTCCACCTCCTTTTTCTCTTTCTCCTCCTTTCCTTTTTCCCGAATTTTTTCTTTCTCTGGCTCCTTCCCCTTCTTCTTCCCCTTCCCCCTCTCCATCTCCACCGTCCTAATTTCTTTCCCTCCTTCCGCGCGCCCGCGCGCTGGAGCCTGGGTTCTGGATCCCGGCAGGTGTGGCCCCCGAGGCGGACGCAGGGTAGGGAGGACGTAGGTCCACGCAGCGTAGACAACACCCGCGGTCACTGTGCGGCCAGGGCCAGTCTCCCGGCGCGTAGGCTGCCGCCGGGCATCTCGCGCCCACTAGCGGGGTCCGCCGCGCAGCAGATTCGCCGAACCAGTGGCTGGGGGAGGGGAGGAGATGGCCGGGAAGCTAGGGGAAGCTTTAAACCCAGAGGAGTGGGGAGGACCAGCCACGGGAGTTGGGAGACCCGTGGGGCCGATCATCTGCATAGGAAAAGCCTCCACCCTACCATCCCATCCGCGACACTTCCTCGGCAAGTCGCACTATGGCAGGATTCCCTTATGCTGGGACACAGTGTCTCAGAAAAGCCTTCCAAGCTGGCCCAGATTCCAGCGTCTCACCTCTACCTCACCACTCCAGAGTAGCCCGGCCTAAGGCCTAAGTGTCTCCCGTCGGGAGATCGCTTAAGGGAACCAGCGTCCCAGCAGATTCCGTGCCTCTCCAAGCCAGTAACCATAAGCCTGAAAAGTCAGGTTTTTATCTTCCCGGCCCCCTGTTAACTACACTAGGAGTGTCCAGAGGCTGCTATCCAGGATGCTTAAGGAAAGAGAAAGTGAACGGTTCCCTTGTTTTAAATTCCTGACACATGTCGCCTAAAAAAGAATTCTGAAGATTAAATTAGTAGTCAGCCAGGATCACGGATACCAGTAATGCTGGGTATTAAAACTACAACTAAACAAAAATAGTCGCCCACAGTTATATATAGCAAATTAGGTACCACCTGGGCTTTTCAAAGGTGGTGTAATGTTTTTTAAACTGGTTTAAAAGCATATGGATGGTTTTTATTATTTTGCTTTAATGTTTGAGAGAAAGTGAGAGCACAAGGGGGTAAGGGGTAGAAAGGGAGAAAGAATCCTATGCTCAGCCCAGGCTCAGCTTGCAAAGCCTGATGCTACGCTAGCTCTCAATATGGAGATCATGATCTAAGCCTGACCTAAGCAGAAATCAATTCAGATGCTTAACTGAGCCACCCAGGCAACACTTATTTCGTTAAACTGCATTCAAAAACATATTTCACAATCCAACAAAATAATCAATGCAATAAACTGACTTTCCTTCATCAGATCTACTGTTCAAATAGGCTTATAAGGAACAGTGAATGAAAGGCAGGTTCCAGGTTTGAGTAATGCAACAGTTTTTCAGGTTAGCAGTTTCCACTCAGCCTTGAAAATGCTGTGCTTAATAACTTAAAAAATGTTTACTACTCAATTTGTTTATATACTGGAAGGTAAAACTGGGTTCTTCCAGTCCCATCAGATTAGTTTTGTAGCTTTCTGGGAGGGGCAAGAAACAATTTTAGATATTCAGCCTAAAAAATTCTTCATATACCAACCAGAAGTCCCCATAAAATGCCAAGACCCATAACACCTTAATCCATACTCACTGCTAGAATCTTTTATTTTAAAATGTACCACAGTGAATGGATGTATCCATATTGTCTTTTATAAATGTACACACACATACACACACACACACACACACATATATATATACACAAAGTATATATGTCATTGGTTAAAGACCTGTCCAAAAGAAGAAACAATTACTAGAAATTTAATGTAGATGTTTACACTTCATTTGACAATTATAATTTATTTAAACTGAGGTTTCAGTTGCTTAGTAATGGCTGGTAATGACAATGACTAGCAATTACAGTGACTAAGTAGAGAAATGTAAATTTCACTTTTTGGTGCATTGGGTCAAAATTTTCAACAATGGATAATTTTCAACAAAATTCTGTAGCTCAGTTAACCTAAAAATGATTATCCTTCACCACAGAAATTTAATGGATTCCTAAATAACAAATTTACTAACAATTATTCCTGTAATGGGGTATATATTCAGAAGGAATAAGTACATCACTCTTACCAAGAGTATTCTCTGAGCTCAAAAAGTATTATGCCATAATAAATCATTCATATATGAGGGTCTCTTGTTTAGATGTTACTGCAGATTCTGATTATGCTAAACAGAAAGGCAGCACCACATTTCTTACTTTTGTAAAGGAGGAAGAAAACCTTTTAAAAATCTCTTTGAGGAAGTTTTGATATTTTCAGAGTCAAACACAGCAGCACTTTATTAATAAGGACAAAGTAATATGATCATAAAGAAATACTCAAAGTCTAGATTCAATGCTATCTTGGGCAGCACAAAATGAATACTCACAAGGGTGGGCATCCCAGTGTGTCTGTCTCACAGGTTCAATGGGAAAGTGGCTTATAGGTGAGGAAAGACCAGAGCAACACTGACACCAGACTGACTGTATAATACTTCATTACTTTGAGAAGGGTAATGAATGCATGTACTCTGAATGATGAAGGGGAGTCATTTCAGTATCTATTAACTGGGCCAAACAGTTCTGTTAAGGTCTAATACTGCCTGCTACTGAACTCTGGTGGATTTTCTCTCTACCTCAGAGGTCAATGTTTGAGCTCTTGACAGGGCCATTAAATCTTTCTGACTGAAACAGTCCAAACCCATCTAACCTCAGAACCACTGAGTCTAGGAGTCAACTTCTTACAACATTGATACATTTGCTTGAGTTCTTTAATGGTGATAAATCAGCATAATGTTATCATAATCTGAAAACAATACTGGGGTGCAAAGAAGTCTTAATTTATATATATGTGTGTGTACTTGTGTATACATATGTACATATACACACCCACACACTTTTCATTACTATATATATATATATATATATATATATATATAAAACATATATAGTATATGTAGTATCCCATATTCCAGTATCACATAACAGAGAATTTATAGTTAGAATTAATCATGACATTTACTTTAGTTTTCCTGTGGCCACTTATGTAATGAAGTGAAGAACACCAGTGTATTAATAAGGTCCCTTTTTATCACATGATATTTCTAAGCAGTTATTTATTTGGAATGCTAAGAAGATTCCACTTTCAGTCTCCTAAGGCCTCCTAAGACATAATTTAAAATGGGCTTTGGTAGGAACAAGTATCTTCAGACTCTAGTTGAAACAGAAGTAGTTTCTGTTTAAATCCTAGGAAACTTTGGATAACATGCCTTGTTTGTGAAACTGAAAAAACACCAGATCAGCACACAAAGAGAAAGGATGCAACAGAGATCAAGGTGGGAAAATGCCCCATTATTTTGAGGGCTTATCATCTGTGCAAAGCTAGGTAGTACAAGTAGGCTAAGTCTGACTAGGCAGAGTCTGAGGAAGATGTTTTCCTGTTTGATGCATGAGAAAATAATTTTATGAAAATGTGGGGGATGGGTGAGGGAGGAACTCTGTGTTTCTTGCTGTGTTACCTTTATTATGTTCCTAGTGTCAGTGAGACTAAAAATAGCCTGGAAACAAGAATGTTCCAATCACCAGCCACCTTTTCCACCTTTCTTCTTTTTCTGTTGCTGTTTCTTTTTTGTTGCTGGAGCCCCTGCAGGTTTCTGGTGTCTTGGGGGTATGATATTACTTGTAGATGCAGCCGATGTTGCTGCACTGCCAGGTCGTGGGGAGGTGGGTGGGCTGCTCACAGTCTTACTGGCATCCCTAAAATCATCAGATCAGGAAGTGTTGGTCATTCATATATTCAACAAAAGAAAAGGCTATAAAAACACATTATTCTTAACAATCTTCCACATATATTCTATTTCTTTCTTTTTTTTTTTTTTTTTTTTTTATTATTCTATTTCTTTTAAAGGGGGATTCCCAACTCCCTATCCATTTTTCTTTTGAATACAATTTTTACTGCTTCATAATTACAGAAAAAGTAATATATGGTTCATGCCAATTTTTAGAAAGCTTAGAAAAGAAAAAAATTTAAATGACCTATAATCTTACAATGTAGAAATAACTTATTTAGTAACATTTTTAATAACTTCTTTCTAGTCATCTTACTTATAGTATCTGTTTATCTACATATTCAGTTGAATGACAAGTGTATTTAGAGCTTCCGTTTGAAGATACCGAATCCTAACATTTATAATACAATTCTACAATCCTAGTATTTACAATATAATCAAATCAGAAACACATTTTCTTTTCTTTCCATAAGTATATTATAAAACATTTATTAAACATATCTGACTGTACTTCTTAACTTAAAATATATTTAAAAATTCTTACTAATGACCCTGAGTCAATCTGAAAAAGAATCAACCTATGCTCTGAGTGACTTCAATTGAGGAGCAATGACTTACAGTTCAGATGAAGCTCCTGCCGTTGCTCCCTGGGTCCCTTTTCCAATCTGATCCTTCTTCTTACCCTTCTTTCTTCCCCGGTAGTAAGAACGTTCTCGCATTGGTAGCCATCTTTCTGGATCTGGGGTCACCTTTGGGTCATAATTCTTAGGCAGTTTTCCTGTATAACAATTGATAAAGGAATGAGAAATCTGTCCATAATGTTTTCAAGATAGTTTGCTTAAGGAATGTGTCCTAGCCTGGGAATAAATAACATTAAAATTGAAGTAAGTTCATCTGAGAAAGTTTTATTTGTATAATCTAGCAGAGGAAAAGGCCTTATTTCTAAGCATGACAGAAAATTCAGAAGCCATAAAGGAAAAGACTTCACAGATGTATCTATATAGAAAATTCTTTTTTTTTCTTTTAAGTTTACTTTTTTTTTTTTTTGAGAGAGAGAGACAGAGAAAGAGAGAACCAGCAGGGGAGGAGCACGGTGAGAGGGACAGAGGATCTTAAGCAGGCTCTGCACTGATAGCAGAGAGCCCAATGTGGGGCTCCAACTCACAAGCCACAAGATCATGACCTAAGCTGAAGTCAGATGCTTAACCGACTGAGCCACCCAGGCACCCCTATATAAAGGATTCTCAACTTCATTTGGTAAGAGATATATTTTTAAGAGAAAATAGCAAATATATATATATATATATATATATGTATCATATACACACACACACACATATATATATATTTGCATGCTATATAACAGAGTGGACTGATATTCTTAATGTACAAAAAGGTCTTGATAATCAATAGGTAAATGTAAAAAAAATGGGCACTGCTATTATTAGGGTAAGCCAGGAGAAATAGAAGTCCTTAATAATGTGAAAAAATGCTCTTCTACCTCACTAATTAGAAATGAAAAAGGTAACAAAATTCTATCAAACTAACAAATATTAAAAGCAGTAATACCCAGTTTTGGTGAAATAGTGAGAAACACTCAAACATTACGGCAGAAGTGTACACAGTTTAGCCTTTGTAGAGAGTGATTAAATTTAGCAGTGCCACTCAAAATTCATACTTCTAGAAATTTATCCTGCAGATATCCAAAAGACACAAGGTTATATATAGGAATATTCTCAAGGGGTGTCTGGGTGGCTAAGTCGGTTAAGTGTCCAACTCTTGGTTTCGGCTCAGGTCATGATCTCATAGTTTGTGAGTTCAAGCCCTGAGTTGGGCTCTGTGCTAACGGCACAGAGCCTGCTTGGGATTCTCTCCCTCTTTCTCTGCCCCTCCCCCACTTGCTCTCTCTCTCTCTCTCTCTCTCTCTCTCACAATAAGTAATAAACACTTAGAAAAAAAAGAATGAACATATATCACTTGTAAGTTTTAAAAAATAGTTATCTAGAAACTACAAAAAATAAAAAAGTAAGTGAAACGGCAAGTTATTTCTACCTACAGTTATCAGCTGCTCCCTTGCAGTATTATTAATACATAAAACAAATACTTATAGTGGGCTGGATGCAAACATTAGCTTCTGCACCATCCCAAAACTCTACTAAGATGGAAACAAACACATTAGAAGGAAAAATAGGAAAAAATATATTATCAATAAAATTTTGGAAGCAGGAAAACAGATGGAGGAATGGTAATAAACTTAGCAGACTTGAGAGACCTGAATTCTAACACAATAGCGAACAAAATAAAAAACAATGTGATTTACACCATAGATTTCCCAGATTCAGAAACAGGTAGGTGGCTCCAAGGATAACCTCTGACTAGTTGACGCCAAACATGGTAATTCTACCCTCTCCTGCTATGGACTAAAATCAACTATAGCCTAAGCCAAACAATGTACGGCATTCCCCTGGTTAATGGTTCAGGGCTGGACACTGACCTATGTTGGCCCCATCAGATTAATAGGAAAGACATGCCAGCTGCAGAAAGTCCTTCTCTGAAAGGCTGGATATAAACAACAAGCTCTGTTCCCCGCCCCCACCTTTTTTTTTAAGAGAGAGACAGAGCCTAAGTGGGGGAGAAGGGGGCAGGGACAGGAAGGGAGGGAGGGAGGGAGAAAGAAAGAAAGAGACAGAGAGAGAGAGAGAATGAATCTTAAGCAGGCTCCATGCCCAGCACAGAGCCTGATGCAGGGCTCAATCCCACGACCCTAGGCATCACCACCTGAGCCGAAATCAAGAGTTGGATGCTTAACGACTGAGCCACCCAGGCGCCCCCACATTCCATTTCATAGATGAAAAACTCAGGCAGGTATCTTAAGTAACCTATTCACAGTCACAGCAAAAGAGCAACATAACTAGAGGAACAATGTAAATTCAGGGAATCAAACTCTCTAGAGCTGTACTCTTTAAAAAAATAAAATGTTAGCTATAGTCGAGACTAAAGTCAGTGTTCAAAGACAGAAGAGAGGACAGTGTATTTATGCGTGATGACTTTTATATAGGGCTAAACTCAAGCTTTTTTTTTTTTTTTTAATTTTTTTTTTTTCAACGTTTATTTTATTTTTGGGACAGAGAGAGACAGAGCATGAACGGGGGAGGGGCAGAGAGAGAGGGAGACACAGAATCGGAAACAGGCTCTAGGCTCTGAGCCATCAGCCCAGAGCCTGACGTGGGGCTCAAACTCACGGACCGTGAGATCGTGACCTGGCTGAAGACGGACGCTTAACCAACTGCGCCACCCAGGCGCCCCTAAACTCAAGCTTTTAATTGAAGATTCTATAAGACAGAATCTAAAGATAAAAAAAGAAAAAATTCTTACCTTTCTTTTTTTTCTTCTTCTTTTTCAAATCTCCTTGTCTATAAAGAGAAGAAATATCATTACCATCATCATGATAAAATATTTATAGCAGAATAAACGTGCAAAAGAGTGAGCTGGGCATTTTATCATAAAGGCATTTAAGATTTTATATTGTCTTGCCAAACTTTATAAACTAGCTGGGATATTAATACTGGTTAAGTTTATTTTTTTTTTATTTTTACTTTTTCCACTTTTGCATTCAAGCATATTTTATTCAAAAACAAAAACACACTGAACAAACTCTGCCAGTAGAAATTGGCCTTGGGTGGAGAGGATTCCATACATACTGATGGAACAAGGTATATCACCCAATGGAGCATCTGTCCTTCCTAAAAGCCTTTAAAAATGGTTTAAGTGAGGTCATTGTTTTCAGGTTGACTGGCTTCAAGTGTCTGTGATGGAAGAGCCAATGCTGGGGCACTAATTCTGCTGCTCTTCAAGTAGCTGCAGGAACAAATGTTAAATTGAGTAAGTCATAATCTCAATTCCTCTCTAGGTATTTTTTTTTCCTCCTCAAATTTTTATTTAAATGCTAGTTAGTTAACACACAATGTATTATTGTTTTCAGTATACTGGTTAAGTTTAATCAAGCTTCGTACACTGCAGCTTTTGGAAAGTGGTTTTAAAAAGAGGGCTAGCAATGTAGATACCATTTACATTGCCATATATTAAGTCTGTGTAAAAAGGGAAGAAACTTGAATAAGCATAAAAATCTACAATACTATGTTAAGTTATATGCTTGGTAAAACTAGAGAACAGGTAACTAAACTCTTAGGCAAAAGAACATGTATACATATCATACACACAAAGAATCTCTCTGGGAGGGTATGTAAGACAAGTAACATTGGCTGTGACCTTGGAGAGAGGAGAGCACACATGGGTGGGAGGAAGCTTTTACTCTGTACTTCTTTATCTTTCAAATCTTGAAACTGGTAAGTTTATAGATACACTGACCAAAAAAGGGGGTGGTGGTGCTGAAAGGAGCATGAAAAATCAAGAAGACACTTCAGCAAGTATTGACAGCAGTTAAGAGGCAGACAGAAAATACCTCTGTACATAATCATATGTGCTATATCTCTATGGGAACTATGAAACAGTGAAGCATAAAGATGAGACTGCAACAATTCCTGCCAAGAAGTCATTCTAACAAGTCATTCAATTGTGGAAGTTCTTTCCGGGTACCCTCAAAAATAGGATATGCAACATACAGTGTCTTTATTTATTTGATGTTTATTTATTTACTTTCTTTAAAAACTTTTTTAAATGTTTATTTTTGCGAGAGAGAGAGAGAGAGAGAGAGAGAGAGAGGGAGAGGGGGGGAGACAGAGAGAGAGAGAGACACACACACACACACACAGAGGGAGGGGCAGAGACAGCACGAGCGGGGGAAGAACAGAAAGAGAATGAGACACTGAATATGAAGCAGGCTCCAGGCTCTGAGCTGTCAGCCCCCATGTGGGGCTTCAACTTATGAACTGTGAGATCATGACCTGAGCTGAAGTTGGATGTTTGACTGAGCCAAGTGTCCCTTAATGTTTACTTTTTATTTATTTTAAGAAGGAGAACGCAAGCAGGGGAGTAGAAGAGAGAGAGGGAGAGAGAGAATCCCAAGCAGGCTCTACGCTCAGCGCACACTCAGTGTGGGGCTCAAACCCATGAAATGTGAGATCACAACCTGAGCCAAAATCAAATGGTGGATGCTTAACCAACTGAACTACCCAAATGCCCCAACAGGGTCTTACTTTCGAGTTTCATCTCTCACCCAAGACCATGCAATAGTCTTCTAAATTGACTCTCTACTAATCACACTCTACAGTCAGACCTGCAATTTCTCAAAGGTTCTCTGCAATTTCTTCTTTGCTTTTGCTTGCACTCTGCTTAATTCATCCTCTTTAAGAGTCAACACAATCACTTCCTCCTTGAAGTAATTTTTTAACCCCTGACTGTCCCCAGGAAGAAACTGTTCCCTCTGGTGTACTCCTCTATGCTCTGCACAATCACAGGGCATGCAACCTTTACTGAAATTAAATGGATTTATTATTTCCTTCTGCTAGACTTAGGATTAGAAAAGGGGGCACCTTGCTGGCTCATTTGGAAAAGTAGTGACTCTTATTCTTGGGCTGTAAATTCAAGCCCCAATGCTGGATATAGAGATTAGTTAAAAATTAAATAAATAAATAAAGAATTAGAAAAGAACTATATTCCTACTGATTACTCAACTCTGTTTTGGAAGAGGAAAAAAATTACTAAAGATATATAAAATAGGTGTTATTTAAAAATCCCCTTAAGATCTGGCTTGAATTTTTCATTTTGATGAAGCCTGAGGTAGGACTTATATGATGAAATGGAATATGGAACAATGTAGTATCTCTGGGACCTACAATTCCTTATTTTAGTTTTAAAAACCTATTATCAGGATGACAGTGCTTTTTTTATTTTTTTACCAAGTAGAGTTCATAACGAAGTTAATCATATACTGTTGTTGATATATTTTTTTAAGTTACAAAAAAATTTGCATTTCAAAAGGCATTCTTTCAAAAAAGGAGAAAACAGTGAAAAATTATGAAAGCCACAAATCTGGGGGAAGGGTTATATGCCTTCCATTCTCTATTCATCCTGACTCTCTATTCATAGAATCTTAAACATTACACTGTAGGCCTCCACAGTGTTTCTAAGATGGCAATATGGGAGAGTAAGAATTGCTGACTTCTAGGGCACCTGGGTGCTCAGTTGGTTAAGAGTCCATCTCTTGATTTAGGCTCAGGTCACCACCTCACAGTTTGTGGGTTCAAGCCCATGGCACTGAGCCCGCTTGGGATTCTTTCTCCCCCTCTGCCCCTCCCCTACTCTTGCACACATGTGTGAGCTCTCTCTTTCTCTTTCTCTCAAAATAAACAGGTAAACTTTAAAAAAGAAAAAAAAAAAAGAATGACTTCTAAGTTAATGTAGCTGGCTAATCCTTCCTCCAAATCAACAAAATAAACTTCATCTGAATTCTGGTATAGAATTACTAAATGATGTACTAAGTGTACATCAAAAACTTACAAATAAAAAAAGTAGAGAATATCCAGCCAATGGAATACTATGCATAAAAAGAATGAAGTATGTCTATACTAGGAATATGGGAAAATCTCCATGACTCAGTAGAAGAAAAGGCAGAAAACAGTAAGAACAATATATTACTCCCTTCTGTAAAAAAAACAAAAAAATAAACCAATCCAAAGAAAATATTTTAAAATTATCTTTGTGTGTAAACACAAAGAAGATCCTGAAGGATATACACTCAGTACTAGGGGGAACAGAGTACACTACTAGGGGGTAAACAGGATGAGGACTAAGAACTGGGTATAGCAAAAGAGAAGGGGAACAAAGGGGACTTAAACTTTATTCACAGGGAATTTTCACAGAATGTATTTTTTATTCCTTATATAATTTAAAGTCAGCATTAGTGAATGTTACAATGAAAAACATTACCCTTGCTCCTTTGGTTGACTATCTCCAGCAACTTTTCCACCCTTTTTCCGAATGTAAGTAGCACCAGGAGAATTTTCAAGAGCCTCGACATCTACTTTCAGAGACATACTATCTGACGAGGGCAGGTGTTTACTAAGACTGGGATTGAACAGGAGTTCAGGAACACAATATATATACATATATATGTCTGTTAAAAGAAAGACAGTTTTTGATGTCCTTTGCCAAAAGTAAAAAAATGTTCTTAAATCTTCTAGAGAATAACAAATCAGGTCATAAGGTCAATTACATATCATATACCCTGAAAAAAGAGCAATAATTTAATCATCCATTCCTTAACTCAGTGACACACTTCAAGATGGTGGCTTAATAAAATCTCCATTCTAAAACAACTACCACGGTTATACCTCATAGACTTGTTCACTATAAAAGTTTTGACTCATGGCTGCTTAGCATCCACCACTCCACCTTGGGTTCATGAGCACACCCTGATGGAGTAGAGTAGCACAGACAATTAAGGCACTGAATCTCTCCAGTAATTGTTTGAGATGGGCATGTAACTTAAGACAGCTCAATCAAAATGACATCTCAGAATCTTTCACAACTACTCAAATAAAATATGCTTTTTCTTTTCTTTTTTTATGCTGCTGGACTTGAACCTGAAGAGACACAGCTGCATCTTGTTGACTTCATTTTTGCTTCTGGATCAAACTGTACCCCAAGATGGATCTGTTATGGTAGTTTTTAGTCATGTAGATCAATAAATTCTCATTTTTGCTCTTACTAGTTAGTAGAGGGTGTTGTTTGTTGAAACTTACAACAGAAAAAGTCCTGCTGGGGAGTGGGCACCTGGCTGGCTCAGCTGTGGAGCCTGCGGACTCTTCATCTTGGGGTGTGATTTCCAGCCCCACGATGGTTGTAGAGATTACTTAAAAATAAAGTCTTAAAAAAAAAATACAGAAAACAAAAAGCAAAAACGACAGAAAAAGCCCTGGTCAAATGAGGTAGTGGAAAGGATCTAGCATGCATTTGGGAGCTATCTGGAACAACAATCAAAAGGATACGCTTTTGCCTTCTCAGGATCTACAAGTGAGTAAGCAGAAATAAGCTGCGCCAGGGTGTGAATATCTTTTGGATTTTGTCTAAAAAAAAAAGGATAGTAAACAGTTTATGAAACTGGAAAAAGTAACATAAACAAGAAAATAACTTATTTGTACCAAGTAACAGCAATACAATTTGCATTTTTACATCTCCACCTTTCAGAACTTACTTCCATAGCTGTTCTAGGTCACTAATTGCCTCCTTTTTCCGCCCATATTTGAGTTTGAAGTTTGCAGCTTCTCTTATCAAGGACAAATGAGCAGAAGATTTGGGCTACAGGTTCAATAAGAAGAGGAAAAAAAAGTTTTAAGCTAAATATCTAGCAAGTTCATAAAGTTATTATATTCATTAGACCTTTAAGATGGACCTATCCATTACATTCCTCATCTTAAGTTATACTGAATGCATGAAACAAAAAATAACACACATACAGGGAGGGAGGTAGACAAATTATACAAGTGATGACCAATTTATGAATTTGGAGCATAACCTATCTCTACACTGTCTATAACCAGAAATATTTCCCCATGAGCAAATATTAAAGATATGTCACCACACTTCTCAAATATTAACACAGTATTTCCCAGAACCCTGATATCCCTCCACTGCTAATAGTGCTAACAGTATAAATACTGTGTGAATGTATATTTATAAACTGGATACTGCCTATAAACAAACCCATAATGGAAAAAATGAAAAGTGTTCCTATTCCATGGACATGTGAGATACAATTACTGCATGTATTTATTGTTTCACCAATTACTACCATCCACGAGCTCTCTCTCGACAAGATGAGCACTCCTAATGCACTCATGTATTACTGTTTTTTGAGATTATACACGAACACACACACACACACACACACACACACACACACACACACACACACACAGTTAAAACCATAACTGAACTTCTGTTTTTAATTTTGCAGCCATTCCTATTTCTAATAACGTTACTTGGTATACTTAAAAAATTAATTTGACAGTCTTATAATATTCCATTCTTTAAACAGTGACTTGGAATATTTTATTCACTAAGTTCACTACTTGCAGCTTTTTATTTTTTTTTAATGTTTTATTTTTTTGAGAGACAGAGAGAGAGAATGCGAGCAGGGGGGAGTAGAGAGAGGGAGACATAGAATCCAAAGCAAGCTCCAGGCTCTGAACTATCAGCACAGAGCCTGATGCAGGGCTCAAACCCATGAATCATGAAATCATTACCTGAGCCAAAGTAGGATGTTTAGCCAACTGAGCCACCCAGGTGCCCCTGAAGCTTTTTATTTTTATGTAAAAACATGCCCTCATGACAATTTCTTCCACATATTTACCTGATGGTTTTGATACCACTGGATAGCTTGCGTGAAGACCTCAATGGCACTATCAATATCTTCCTCATGGCTGTACATAGTCACTAATGCAGACACCTACCCAGCCAAAAGTATAAATTAATGAATAAAATCCCCTCTCCCAGAATAAGCTTTTTGAAAATGAAAAAAATTGAAGAAATAGAAAATAAAAGTTGCTAGGCTCTGTCAATACCAAATTCATCATAAAAATTATTATCTTTTTAGAGCACAGTAACTAGAAATACTGTATACAGCAGTGGTTTCCAAATGCAAAGGTAGTTATCTATAAAATGTAACTTTCCTTTTTTTATTATTATTTTTATTATTATTAAAAACTATTTTTTTTTACATTTATTCATTTTTGAGAGACAGAGAGAGAGCACAAGTGAGAGACCCTGGGGCAGAGAGAGAGGGAGACACAGAATCGGAAGCAGGCTCCAGGCTCTGAGCTGTCAGCACACAGCCTGACGCGGGGCTCAAACTCACAAACCGCGAGATCATGACCTGAGCCGAAGTTGGACGCTTAACTGACTGAGCCACCCAGGCACCCCAGCTTTCCTCTTAAAGTAGTGCCAGTTCACAGTTTGTTACCAGTGTATGGTAAGGTAAGTACAACAAATTGAGAGTAAGTGTTTAGAGTATTAGTTTATAAGGTAAGACATTGCTGGGACTTCCAATGTGTGATTGGTGAGGTACACTGCAGCACAGCTAATGTCCCATAAGTTGTATCTGGCCTGAACTACAAAAAGCCAGTGAAAAGCTTGCCTGGTGTGGAGGCATGGAGGCCCATGTGGCTGGAGTATAGTGGGAATGGGAGGGGCACAATGAGATGAGGTCAGAAAGGAAAGAGAAACAAAAAGCTGGATCTTAGAGAAAATCAGTAAAACTGATAAACCTCTGGCTAAACTGACCAGAAAACAGAAAAAGAAGACCTGAACAGCCAGTGTCAGGAATGAGAGAGGTTCTACAGATCTTAAAGAGATAAATAAGAAATATCGGAACAACTTTTATGCCAATAAATTCAACAACCTAGATGAAGTGGAAATATTTCTTGAAAGGCCAGATATGAAATAGTAGGAACCTTTACGTTTGCTTCTAATATAAAGTAATTATCACCCAGTCTTTAAAATATGAGTCTTCAAAAGAGAAAGCACTACTGTTATACATTTACTGAGTGCTGACTGTAAACAAGCTGTGTTAGAGGATACAGACATGAATAAAAGTCCCTATACAATAAATGCACATACCACCAACTACAGCATTAGTCTCTGCTTTGAAACACATGCTTTCACAGCAACATCACTGATTTAAACCTGTGATGCTTGAATCATCAGAGAACTAAAAACTAAATTTGTTGGCCACTATTACTAAATTGCTTTAGCTCAAAATACCACACTGAAGACATGACAGAATAATTTAGGCTAAGAAAGTCCCTATGTAGGTCTTAGATTATTTAAAGTTGGCTTTCAGTGATAATATAAAGCCTAAATAGTGCCTCAAATATTTGCCTAATAAACCAATGCAAAGCAGAACATAAAGTGAGATTAAATGTATACCAGATAAATAACTGTATTTTAACTACTACTGCATTATGAATAAATAGAAATTAAATACAAAAAAATCAAACATACCAACAAACTATAATTCCATTACTTTCAGTCTTTTAATATTTTAAACTCACCATGCCTGGTTTATGTTTTAACTCTTCTATGCTTCTCAATATTAGACATGCTTTGGATATATTACCTTGAGAGATTAAAAACATCATCATCACACTGAAGAAAACATATTATGAAAAAAATACAAGAAGTTTAAGTCACTTTGTAGTATCTCTAAATACTCAAGCTTTGGGATCTTGGAGATAATGTACTCTACTTATTCTTTTTACATATACATAAAGAAACGGAGTCCTAAAGAAACAATATAGTTTGCTTACACCCACAGAGTTAATGGCAGAGATGTTACCAGAAAAGAAGTATCCCAACTCCCACCTAGTCTGTTAAGTTCTATTTCTCCTTTCGTAGACTGTCACTTAAAGGAAGCTCTACCCTAAAGACTTTGAAATATGAAATACTGTAGATGGGAGCGCAATGGAAAACTTCCTATGGTGTCAAAATACTGTTTTTTTACTCATTGCATACCTCACTAACATAACCTTTCAAAGACTTGTCACAGGAACCATAATAGGCTCTTAGTAATTTTAGTACGATAAATAATCCTTTCAAAAATAAACTGAAAACTGGAGAAGGAAAGAAAATAAGGGGAAGAGCAAGAAAAAGGAGAGGTGGGAAAAGAAAAATTAAGAGAGGAAGTTAAGGAAATGTGAGTATGGGTAACAGGAAGATCAATAATTTTTTTTTTAATGTTTATTTATATTTGAAAGAGAGAGCATCTGTGCATGCCAACGTGTGCACATGAATGGGAGAAGGGCAGAGAGAGAGAGACAAAGACAGAGAATCTCTGTGCTGTCAGGACAGTGCAGAGCCTGACACAGGGCTTGAACTCACAAACCATGAGTTCATGACCTGAGCTGAAATCAAGAGTCTCAAGAGTTGGACACTTAACCAGCTAAGCCACCCAGGCGCCCATTTGTATTTTCTCTTTTAGAGTAATCTTTATGCCCAACATGGGGCTCTGGGGCTTGAACTCACAACCCTGAGATCAAGAGTCTCATGGTCTACCAACTGAGCCAGCCAGGCACCCCAAGACCAACAATGTTTTTCAATCTTGTTTTCATTACCACACACTATGGAGCCTTTTAAGACATTTCCTCCCCCCCACCCCCGCCATTGTCAATTCTCATCTTTACCCATGAAATTTTCATTTCAGCCATCATAATATCTGTAATTTTTCTGATCATCCACCAAACAACTGATCCCCACCACCCAATGCTGAGAATGCATGGTCTACACCAGAGATACAACTTTCTATGATGGAAATTTCCTAATCTACCCTGTTCAAGTAGCCACATGTGGTTATAAAGCTTCTGAAATGTGTCTAGCACAAAGGAGGAACTGGCTTTTAAAATTTCGTTTAATTTTAAACTTAAAATAGTTATACTTGGATAGTGGTTACCAAATGCAGATAATACATAGCTACAGACAATCACTCAGGGTTTGTTTAGAATCATGGGCAAAAACAAAAGCAGTTTTTTGTAAGATTCAAAAACATCAGTTTTCATTAAATTGTCTTGCCTCTTCTCCCCCAAAGATATGAGTCAAAATATAAACAAAGGATAAAGGATTAAGAAATTCTGAGAACTAGAATGCAAAGTAACCCTTATTTCACATAGATACTACCAAGTGACAGAAGCATTTCTACACATGACATACCCAGGAAATTTGCGTTAAGCATGATCTTTTGAAACATAGGAATCCTTTGCTTCTACTGACTTTCAAGGCATATACTGAGAATCATTCTAAAAATTTAATAACCCAAGAAAAGGCTGTTTGAACAATCGATAATTATGATTCATCATCGCGCAAAATTTTTTAAATCAAGCCCACAAGTACTTCAGAATCATTTTAATCATGTTTCCATTAAAATGATATTTTAACCATGATGAAATCACTATCAATACCTTGGGAAATTTTCAGCTGTGCCATGGTCAGCTTAATTTCAGCTGCATTTTCTGGATGTTGATCTGAGAATTCCTAAAATGTTTTAGTTGGAGGGAAAAAAAAAAAATCACACCTAATTTATTCAACTAGCTGCACACGTTTCAATTACCACATCTACACAGAATTTTAAATCCAGTTTTAAGATAGTAAAGTTCTGGTTTTAGATCAAAATTTTAATTCCAGAAAAATTTTATTTGATACCTATTTTGTTTTAAAATTATGTCTGAAAAAAAACATCAAATTATGCTCGGAAAGTGTAATAATATCAAGTTCCAGGAAGTCATTACTAGACAAATAATAATTCAGGTTACCACATAGTTCTGTTTGTTTAAATAAGATACTCAAAACAGATGATATATCCTTACTGAGAACCCCTGCCTAGACAACTCTGCCCTTCAGGATGGTCCTAATTTTACCCAGTTCAACTTTCCAATGTAGTGTACCCTCAGGAATTTCAAACATGTAATCTAGCAGTTGGTTTAGAATGACAAAAACCAAGTCAGTATCTCTGTAATTGTTTGAGTTTTTAGACTGGGACTCATTGGAAAATACATTATTGAAAAAGATTAAGCATGTTCTGGTATTATAAACCTAAAACAAACCTTTAACTCATGCTAAATTGATCTCCAAATGAAAAGCATTCCTCAGGGTTTAGGCAAACATTAATGCAAACTTACACAAAACAAAGTGGTAGCTCAAGAATTAACTAAAGTGACACTGTGGAATTTGTCTAGTGGTATATTACCTATTAGTTTTCCCATTTTATTTACAAGTTTGCAGGCTATTATAATGAAAATAAAACAAGGATGCAACTCTCTGACACCTCATTAAAAATTCAAGTAATTCCTTTACCTGAAGCAGCTCTATTGCTTTTACGTGCTGCTTTTCCCGGCAGAGCTGGGCAGCTTGGATTAATACAGGCAGGAGATGCTCAGGACTTTGGGACTGTAAACTGGCAGATATTTTGCGGCACTGTTCTGCCTAAAAGATAGTATCCCCCCCACCCCCAAATAAGTTGGTTAATGAAATTAAACAGTAAGTGAATGACCAAAAAGAAAAGGATGGGGGTGGAAGAGGAGGGAACTCAGCTGAAAGACAATAGTAAGTGAACAACTATCTAGGGTGAAAGAAGTGGTTTATAATATCTATTCTCAATTTTTTCTTATAGGAAAAAAATTTCCATTTACTAAATTTAAGCCATGAGTTATGAAAGTATTTAGGAAAGGACTAGTTCTAAACATTAATTTGTATGCTTAAATTCCAGAATTTTGTTAAAAAAAAATACAAGTATCAGTCTTTGCTTCAAAACAACAAAATGTATAGGTATTTCTTGCTAAAGTATCTAGACTCAGTTCTAAATAATAAAAATGTTATTGCCTCTCACTCCCACTGAAAACCTCTGTTACAGAAGAATATAAAATCATTATTTACAATTAATGCATGTTAGAGTTAGAATTACATCCTTAGCATTTATAACTTAATAGTACAAACTAAAATGAAAGATCTTAAACCTATAATCACAGTCGACATCTTTAATGACTTCTACTTTAACTCAGATCAGAAATAAGGTAATGAGAACATTATCTCATTTACAAGTGTGAATAATGTTTTCTTCCTCTTAAAAGGCAGCTGCAGACCCTTACAAAGAATTGAGCAAATTACTTGTTTAACAAATAAACTCTATGATACATGACATTCTGAAGAACACATGACATATAAGACAAAAAATGTAAATAAGTTGTACTGATTTATTTATATATATTTATTTATATAATATATATGTTTATTTGTATATAAATAAATTGTACTTATATAAGACAAAAAAGTAAATAAATAAATTGTACTTATGCACCCCTTATGCCATACTCCAAAAGGGTTAGCCAGGGGAATTGGAGGTTTGTTACCTACCTGGTTTGTGTACATAGCAAGCAAAGCTTTGTTAAATTCTATAGCTTGCAGCTGTTTCTTGGAAAGCTTAAACTCTACTCCTTCTGCATTGGTTAATTTCACCTTCTTCTTGGAGTCAAAGACATTTTGGTCCTGACAAAAAAAAGTTCATCTGCCATTAACAGCAATCTCAGACTTTAACTCTTTTAACACTTCAAGACTTTATTACTCTTCCATTTAATACACAAGAGAGCTTGGAAGATAATACATCTACCTGGTTAGGTTGCCTAAATCTCTAAGATGCATATAAATTTGTCTTAGGTTCTTGGTTTTCTTTTGATTTATCCTTCCACTCTTAACTGCTTGTTTTGAGCTTTGTGAAGAAAAGTACATATGGACAGAACAAATCTTACATTGGAAATTAGGACTAATGACAAAGATACAAAGAAATATGCAAGCTACAAACTATGCCCTTTAGAATTTAGATAACAAACGAGGAGCGCAATTCATTTCTCTTTGCAATAGTCATTACGTAAGCAAATCATTAAAATTTAGAAATAAATTCACACCTCTTTTGAACCCATTTTTAGCAAAAAATGTTAATGTAATGTACTGTTCCCCCCCCCCCCCCCCCCCCCCCCCCCGCCCAACACACACACTTCTCACCTAGGTAGAAGCTCAAATAAGTTCAATTTCTCAAACTTCTATGTGGGACAAGCACAGTGTTATTGTTAAGAATTCTAGAATGTCACATACCTTTCTAGGATAAGGAAGACAAATTACATTGCATCCTGAGAAGGCCAAACTGAGCATGTGAATGTCTACTGTGTGCACAATATTCTTTGTTAAATAATATATCTATTTGCAAATAAATGATATCCCTATGCTTTTTAAACCAGGTCTTCTATTAGTATGAAGACTAAAAGGAAGCAAAGAAGAAATCTAGAATAAATTCTACTTTTTCTGAGTGTGAAGCTCCAAACCAGTACATATCCTTTTAATTTGTTTTCTTAGTTTCCTCCCACAGGTCAAATATTTCTCCATATGTTCACTTACTTAAACTGTAACCCTCCTTTTCAAGTGTCATCTACAAATTTGCCAACATGGAGATCTTTTCTTTCACCAATACTTCAGTTAAAAGTCAAAAAGTTTGAACAATATAATGATTAAGACTGAGTTTCATATTTCTTTGCATTACCTATAGCATCCAGCACTATTCTGAATAAAAAGTTTGTTGAGTAAAGAAAGTTTGGCATATAATTACAATGAGATTAAGATATTTAGTGTTTCACACACTCTCCTTTCCATAATCATATATCCAGGTAAAATGAATTTATCCTCACTGGCATTTCAAATAATTCATAAACACAGGCAGGTATATAATGCTAAGATTCAAATGCCACAATCTATTTTTGGAGACCTAAACTATGCTGATAGCCTGCAACATCCTATAACTACTACTGGCCCTAATGCTATTATCTCATTTTCTGGGGATTCTCTAGATTTCTACTATAGAAGGGGAGAACTACCATGAAGGACTCTGCAATCAGAGAATTGAATCTCTGGAATCTGAATCCAAGCTCCACCTTTAACACAGGCTGTGTGACCTTACACAAACTGTTTTAACTCCTTTCAGCCTTAGATTATATTCCTATAAATCAGAGATAAGTACTGCCACCTAGAAACGTAACTGTGAAGATGAAATAAATGACACTTGAAAATTCACACAGCTGATCAAAAGGAATCAAATGTTACTTATTTTCTGCTGACTTGAATTTCAAATCTGAACTTGAAATGTTCTTCCATTAAAACAGTGTTCTAAATGGTAGTTAATTTTACTAACACAGTACTCTTTAAACCTGTTTATATACACACTTGTAATATTTTACATGTAGTATTGGGAGTGGGTAGAGAGAAAACCTGTCCATGTTGCCCCTCCCCCCAAATAAAAACCACGAGAAAGAAAAAAATTATTTATATAGAAAACTTATATTCAGACTCACTAGATGAAAATGTCACATAAAACATGCATGTTAAGCTTTCAGTTTAAGTCTAAACAATGGGCACCTGGGTGGCTCAGTTAGTTGAGCGTCTGACTTCAGCTCAGGTCATGATTTTGCAGCTCATGGGTTTGAGTCCCACATTGGGCTCTCTGCTATCAGCAGGAAGCCCACTTTCGATCCTCTTGTGTTCCCCTCTCTGTCCCTCCCCCACTCTCTCTTGCACGTTCTCTCTCGAAAAGAAATAAAAACATAAAAAAAGTCCAATTTATTTTTCAATACATAGATTCTCTACATTATTATAAACTGGTAAAAGGCCAAGATTTTAAAGTCCAGAGTCTGTAACTACAAAAAAGTTTTATTATCTGAATATGGCTTGCAGAATCATCATCATTATGAAAGTTAAATAACACTCTCCATTGTAATTTTGCTACAACTGTACTGTGTCATGGAAAAAGAACAGTTATCCTAGGACAAAGCTGAGGTAATATGTTTTCAATGTAAAATATAAGTATAAGAAAGCCATGGATAGCCCATACCTTGTTAATAGTAATGATATTATTTGCAATCACAGCCAGCAATCCCACATCTGTCGGCCTGTGAACAATAAACAACAGTCAAAAAGGAACAAACATTTACAAAGAAACTTCATCCTCTATAAAAGGCATTTCATTTCAATAATTTACTTACTTTAGTTTTATTATCTGATTGTAAAGTTGCAACGCTTCCTCTGTACGACCCTGAAGCTGCAGAATATAGGCCATCTGCCCATGAATGATGGCCAGTTCTGCCTGTGGGTCTTCCTCAGTCCCATCCTAAGTAGAAAAAGAAACTTTTTTCCCCTGTAAATTCTCCAAATTGATCTTCATAATTACCAAGTGTTCCAAACATTCAAAAGATACATGATCTCAAAGACAACATGTAATTTTCAGAGAATTTCCCTTACTGTCAGTTTTGTTAAAATTTAGGAATCTGATAAAGGAGATTCCTAGAGTAAACTGCTGTGTCAACAGGTATGAGCTAGAAAACAATAAAAGATTGGTGAAAAAGCTAACAGCTATAAGGACTCTGTAATGAAACTACTTCACAGCTGTCTTTAAGGTACTGCACTTAAACAAAACTGAAAATCGTTGACTACTGGATTATTTGCGGTTCATTAAAGAAATATGCATGGAATTCCTATAAAAGGACCCATATTCAAAGACCTGAGCCTTATATCTAAAATAAGACAATGAATTTATATTAATATGAATTTAAAATAAAATGTATAAGGTATATAAAAATTGTTATTGTAATTTCTCAGCCTGAGACTCCATCAAATAACTGATCAAGAGGGTTTCTATTCTATTTATATGAAATAAATTACCTATTTCAACAAGTTAATAAACACTACAACGAAGCCTCCTATAAATTCATATTAGTCAGAAGTGTAAAATCTGGGTTTAGCAATGGAATACTTACAGAATCTTCTGATAATGAACGGCGGCAAAGATCTATAGGAAAAAAATGTTTTAAAATTAACATTGCAGGGTAACTCCCATTCCTTTCACCATTCCAAAGGACAAAAATTAAATTCTTAGGAAGAAGATTTCAAGATAATTTTAATAATAAGCAAACTTGAACTTTATTATTAGCATCAACTATGTTACATAAATATTATCAGTTTTCGTTATTCTAGCTCTCTGGCATTTTTCTTTCATTTGTAATCTCTAGGTTAAAAAAAAAATTTTAGCCTGGGTGCCTCAATCGGTTAAGTGTCCAACTCTTGATTTCAGCTCAAGTCATGATCTCACGGTTGTGGAACAAGGCCCCAGGTTGGGCTCTGCACTGACAGCATGGGGCCTGCCTGGAATTCTCTCTCTCCCTCTCTCTGTCCCTCCCTTGTGCACATGTGTGCTTTCTTTCTCTCAAAATAAACATTAAAAAAAAAACAATAAAAAAATTTTAAGGGAATTAAAAAATATAAATGTAACAAATGTTGACTGCAAAAAACCAATGACAAAAAAGTATTAAAACAATGACAATAATTTCACCACCAAAAGAACCACTATTCGCATTTCAATTACTATTTTCTAAATGCAAATGCACAGCTACTGTTAAAATGAAACAGATACATTCTACATACTATTTTGAGACCCCCTTCCTCATCTAATAATATGTAGATATCTTCAGATTATAATAAATATAGATCTACATTACCATGCAATCATTTAAAATAATAATAATCTATTTTGTGGTTATGGTAAAACTTAGCCAATCCTCTTACAGGACAGAAACTCATCATGCCTTAAATTTCTTTCTTATGACTACCCCTTCAATTAGCATTCATAAAAATACATATATGAACTTATCTAATTATTTTCTTAAAATAAATTTCATTTATCTAATTATTTGCTTTTAATTAATTTAATTATTTTCTTAAAATGAAATCCTTGGATCAAAGGGTAAGCAAATTTTAAAATCTGCTACATATCACCAAATTGCCCACTGCAAAGTTGGCACTACTTTATACTCAAATCTTCCATGTATAAGAATATCCTTTTCCCATACTACTGTCAATACTAGGTATAATCAAGAAATTATAATTCTCAAACATATACCTCGTTTCACCATTTTTTCCTCTACACCATTTACTGCAGTCCCTATATCACGTTTATAGCTTCCAGGGAAATATGTATTCAGAAGAAAAGTTTACATGTTCCAGGAGTTGAAACCAGACATAAGTTCTCTAATAGGCTATTTTTCTTTTTTTCTTAATTAAAAGCTTGTTCAGAGCATGTAAATGCTATATATGGAAACATGTTAAACGAAGTTAAGATGTGCTTGAATAGTGTTACCAATATACATGCTGTGTATGCACATGCATGCACGTACCCACACAGTCACACTAAATTATCATTATACTTGAGTACCAGTTTAATAATGATAACCAGTATTTATTGGATGCTTATGTTATATGCCACGTATTGCTGTAAATACTTGACATGAACTCAATTTACATTTAATATTCATAGTAATTCATTCAAAAACCTCCTCAAAATTAAGGTTTGGTGTGGATGAAAATGGACAAGTACTCTGGCTTAGGGATTAGACAGAAATAAGGGAGAGATATGTTAAAATGCCAAGAGAAAAGCTAGATGAACTGTTTTTTTTTTTTTATGTTTATTTATTGTTGAGACAGACAGAGTACGAGCAGGGGAGGAGGGGCAGAGAGAGACGGAGACACAGAATTCGAAGCAGGCTCCAGGATCTGAACTGTCAGCAAAGAGCCCAACCTGGGGCTCAAACTCACAGACTGTGAAATCATGAGCCAAAGTTGGACACTTAACCAACTGAGCCACCTAGGTGCCCCATAAAGCTAGATGAACTTTGAAAAACTCCCACTATATCAGTATTTCCATTTACAAACTTCACAAAAGTCGAGTACAATTTTTGGAAATAACTATTTTAATAATAGTTATTTATTACAATTACACATAAATTTAATAAATTTCCAACCTTCAGCTTTTTGTAGGATTTTCATTGCCTGGCTCAGATGGCCTTGTCCTATCAGTGCACATGCAGCATTGTAGCATAGTTCATGTGTGCCTTCTTGGAGACCCAAGTTCTCCTGCCGTGGAGCAAAATAAAAGTCAAACACTAGATAGGATTATTGTTTCATAGTTGTGTGGGTACACGGGGATACTCACTGGAACCACTTTTTCCCAATTGCTTTGTGCTGCAACAACTGCTGAAAGGTTTGTTTTTCTCTCCTCATCATAATCATCTTGGGAGTTTCGGACAAGATCTCTATACACTGCTAAGCATTCATCATAGCGTTCTAACCGGTATAGCTAGGGAGACAAATAGCAAGTAAAAAAATCAGAGAGGAAGACAAATACAGTATTAAATCTCAAACATCGTACAAATCCTTTTTGGAATCACTAAGTAGCAAACCTAATTTAGCATGTTATGGGCAATCAACAGTTTCCTTTATAACTTTTCAATTAATTCTGTGTGCTACTAATACTTGCAAAGTTACTCGGCAATGAATCTCTACTATACTGCAGATTTGTAGGCATGATCCAAAAAGAAAAGTCATCGTATTTACCTCCTTCCTGAGGCTGGGTAAGTGCCTAAGTGGGCTGTAAAAGAAAACCTTTCCAAGGAAATCATCCTGCTACCTAGATCTGACTTACAATGAAAACATTTTCCCACCCATGAGTATTAAGCTCCAATAAATAAGAACAAAATTAGATGTTAACAAAAGGACTTAATACTTCCTAGGAGTTCACTTTATTTGATCTTCATTTTCTCTTTCCCAAAAATGAGCTAGTAAAGGGGCAATATATCAAGTACACAGAACATAATTCCTGCTTATTTCATTCAAGTTGTTCTCGAAGGGCAACAAGAACTGCCACTCTGGGTAAATTAAATCAACCATGTCTGACAGAAATTGGTGCCCTTCATCAATCTCAAAATGCTGGAATTTACCCTAAATTTGCCCAGCTTACCTTAAAAGTTCTTTCTAAACCTACAATCCACGAACTTGCCCAAATCTTTCTCCAACCTATATGTATTGTTAAACTCCTACTATCTCTTGGGACAATACACTTAATATAACGTTATTTGCCCTTAATAACACTTTAAAAATCTTTAAGAGGATTTTGTTAAATCTAATAAAACATTTCTGTCCTCTCATCCTTAATAGCCCTATTTTTACATTAGGCTTAAACAGGTCTCAAAACCCTTTCAGAATAAGAGATTTTAGGGATTTCATAAACTAGCTGAATTCATCCAGATTCTTATCCATCATAATTTATTTTAAACATATCCCCCTGGCCTTCACCTTTCCAACTAAAAAATTGTAATTTGATAGGATAGTTTTAAATTTTCTTTAATTTTCTAATTACCATGAAGAAGCCATTTATTCATAGAACAGTATATATGCAAAGGTTTGTGTGAAGATCAAGAGGGACTATACTGAAACCTCAAGAATTGGTTTGGTGGCGAGTTTTCAGGATGGGCTGGGGTTCCTCATCCCTGCTCCTTGCTACAGGTATAATCATATTCACTCAGGATGAATGTCAACAGGTATTTTAAAGCAGTAATTACCACTTGTCCATAAAGCTCCTTTAGTTTGTCTGTCTGCTGATTGGCACTTTCTATGGTCTTCAAGGCATTCTCAATTCTGTTCAGCCTGTACTCACAATATGCCTTCTCAAAGGAAAGAGAATTACTGAAAAAGAAAAAAAAAAACCCAGTATCTGGTCATTAGTTAACACTGCAGAGCACCCACCATATGCCAGACACTGCTGTAAGCACCTGATCTATATTAAGTCATTTAATACCATTAACAATGGATGAAAAAATTGACAACATTTAGTGACACGTCTGAAAAACAGTTCACAAATGGCAGAAAATACTACATCCATGTCCCTTGCCTCTCTTGCTTTCATGGATATTCTTATTAGAATTACTGGCCTTTTGAAACAAACAGTTAAGAATGAAATAATGCTTGCAGTTCGTGAGTTTGAGCCCCACATCAGGCTCACTACTGTCAGCCTGTCAGCGCAGACAGAGCCTGCTTCAGATCTTCCGTCCCCCTCTCTGTTCCTCCCCTGGTCGTGCTCTCCAAAAAAATAAATAAACATTTAAAAAAAGAGAGAATGAAATAATGAATCAGCTAAGTAACTAATTACTTTAGACAAAAAGACAATCTGAACACTATTTTAAATGGGTTATTAGTCTCCTTTTTTTTTTTTTTTTTTTTAAATTTTTTTTTCAACGTTTATTTATTTTTGGGACAGAGAGAGACAGAGCATGAACGGGCGAGGGGCAGAGAGAGAGGGAGACACAGAATCGGAAACAGGCTCCAGGCTCCGAGCCATCAGCCCAGAGCCCAACGCGGGGCTCGAACCCACGGACCGCAAGATCGTGACCTGGCTGAAGTCGGACGCTTAACCAACTGCGCCACCCAGGCGCCCCTATAGTAGTCTCTTAAATCTATTAATCAAATAGTACATCCTATAAAGCTGCTTTAAATTTGTTCAAGAAGCAAATGAATAGCAAAGGTAACTAAAATCTTAAAAGAACATAGTGCTTATAACCAAACAAATGGTAAAACACACAACAACAAAAATACTACTTATCTACATTGACTTAACTCAGCTACACTAATATGACAACCTGAAACTCATTCTGGAGTTTTAACCATAACCCATGAGGAAGAATATTTATGAAGCAAATGACAATATCCTTTATTTACTTGCCTAAAAAACAGTATTTGAAAATTTCCCTACCTCACAAAATGGCCAAAACTCAAAAAGATATTGAATTTTAGTATAAACATGTTTACTAGAAAGCAGAGTCCCCTTTATTTCCTCTTATATTTTTAATTAAGTTTTAAAATTAGTTTTCCATCTATCTACATGTATATAGTTAAAGAAAAAAGAAACAAACCCAAAATCCAGAAAGGTATATATACACTAAGAGGTTTTATTCCAGGGCTATTCATATCTATCCTGTTCCCCTTTACCTCCTAGAAGTGATTACTTTATTTATTTATTTTTTTTAATTTTTTTTTTTCAACGTTTATTTATTTTTGGGACAGAGAGAGACAGAGCATGAACGGGGGAGGGGCAGAGAGAGAGGGAGACACAGAATCGGAAACAGGCTCCAGGCTCTGAGCCATCAGCCCAGAGCCTGACGCGGGGCTCGAACGCGGGGACCGCGAGATCGCGACCTGGCTGAAGTCGGACGCTTAACCAACTGCGCCACCCAGGCGCCCCTAGAAGTGATTACTTCAATTCACTGTTCTCCATCTAGTGTTTGTTTTTGTAAACTCAGGAAAATACACCTATAAATTCTTATATCCTCCTTTTCTTATATGAAAAGAAGTACACTAACTATACAGTTGACCTCTGAACAACACAGGTTGAACTGTATGAGCCTACTTATATGTGGATTTTTAAAAATAAATAGTATAGTACTTTAAGTGTGTTTTCTTATGACTTTCTTAATACCATTTTCTTTCCTCTAACTTCCTTTACTGTACAAATACAGTATATAATACATATAACCTAAAAGTATGTGTTAATCGACTGTTTATGTCATCTGTTAGGCTTCCAGTCAATAATAAGCTATCAGTAACATTTTTGAGGAGTCTAAAGTAATACTCAAATTTTTGACTACATGGAGGGTTCGTCCCTGCATTGTTCAAGGGTACACTGTACACCATTTTTAAATTTATAAACCAGTATTTCATCAAAGAGTAAATATGCTGGGGATACCTGGGTAGCTCAGTCAGTTGAGCATCTAACTTTGGCTCAGGGCATGACCTCACAGTTTGTGAGTTCAAGCCCCGCATTGGGCTTGCTGCAGTCAGCTCAGAGCTTGCTTCGGATCTTTTATCCCTCCCCTGCTCATAATCTCTCTCTTGAAAATGAATAAACATCAAAAAAAAAAAAGGTAAATATGCTGCAAACTTTATTTCAATACACATTTCTTCTGGGGCTTAGGCATAACTATAAAGAAAATCAACTTGCAGTAACAATTTAGAATATAAGTTCACAGTTCATGAAATGAGAAATGAAAAAGATTAACAAAAATAACAACAAATGTTATACATTTTAAAGACTGCTAAAGAGCTCTAAAACTGAATGATCTTGGCCTAAAATCATACTCACCTAAACCATTCTCAAAGGAGGTAGGCACAGAGGTCAGGCTAAGACTGCCATACTATCCTAAAGACCTCTATTTATACATCCTTACCCTAGCGGTTCTAGTTCTACCCATTCTGCCTTTTTTTTTTTTT